ATATATATAAATAAAAATAAATATATATATAAATAAAAATATTAAGTGGAATCAATTTGAAACCACATTATGGAATTGTATATATGTTAGCTTAAGTAATTTGAATACATACGGCACTAAAGTCCCAAATTTTTATAAAACGCCTTTGCAATAAGAATCCATGAATTCATTGTGATAATTTTATATAATATAAATACTACACTTTTGATAACAAATATTCAAGGTTTTAATAAAAAATAAGTTAAGTCACATCATTTAAGAATTTTAGTTTTTTTTACTATAAATGAATCACACATTCAAACTTTTTTTCAACATTCACCTAATTTTATCTCAAATTATTTTGAACTGAAATAATAATATTTAAAAATCTTGAAGATATAATTTTATAACTGATAACAAAATGTAAACAAATATAAAATTATATAAATAAAATCATTTTAAAAATACTACTTTCAACACATAAATATATTTATATTTTATGATATAAAACATCTTTTTTAATTTATACAAGAAAATAAGATGGAAAGTGGGAAATCGGATAGTGTTGGCGTGAAAAATTTAATTAAAAATATACACATCAAAAGGCTTATAATAGATTTGATTTAGAGAGATATTTCAGAAATGAATTATTTAAAGAAAAGAACATATTACTCATATCTTTTAATTAATGTATTGGAGTGTTTGTTGTCTGCGATTTATAAAAAAATAGGATTCAAGACCCAAAAAAAAAATTAATTTATGAAATTGCATTAAAATTTTAATAATATATAAAAAAACGCTTATTAGACTCTATTTAGTATAAATTCTTTTAATTTTATTAAGAATTTACGAGTTTTACTATGTTTTATGTAGTGATATGGACAGAAAAGGCGCCATATACTAAAGAATAGAGGATGCATCACTACGGAAGCAAAATTCTTATAGCCTGTGGATACTTACAAAAGCTGTGATATGTTATGAAGAATTAGAACGATGCTAAACCAAAGATAGTCGCAGAACTATCCTACTCGCTCAAATTACCGACCATCTATTGTAACTATAGAATCATAATACTTTGAAAGAGTTATTTGCTTTGTGGATCAAATTATAACACATTTTGGACTTAGATTTCAATCAAATTTTTATTTTTACATAATGTTTGGATATTGATATTAAGTAAGGACCAGGTCAATCAAATGTTATGTCAAACATTTTACAGTACTGGATGGTTTTGAGATAATTTGTTCTGACTTGTCGGTACATTGCCGGATAAGTTCGATAATAACTAGATGTTTATTTTCAAGGCGTCAAGAGTTTGAAAATTGTCATCAAGTCTCTAAACTGATTATGATCAAAATGATAACTCAATCATTTAAGTAACTTCACAATTAACTCTAATAATAATGATCTTCACATAACCAAAACGTGAAATCATATGCGTTTTGATGTTTTCGTGCAACAATGCCAAAATTAACGGTATTATGTGGATTGTAGTACCGTCCAGTTCGAATTACATATCATCTATATCCATATATTTAATTTCAAGCCAAAAAAATTTATAACCACTTGGCAGTTACGATAAGAACCGGCGGTTTATATCGCAATTTCGTCATTTTCAAGAAAGTTCGAGCCCACACGCCTCCAAAATAAATGTGGATACATTTATACATATAATGAAGAAATAATGTTCTTTTGATATTTACTTGTGGATTTTTACTACCCCAGATGCGACAATTTTGTTTGTTGACATAACTGCCAAGTGGAGAATGAGTTTCATAACTGAAGAAATATCGATGTACCTATTGTAAGAATACAAATCTTAACAATACGTTCAGCGGTTGATAAATAATTTATATTGCTAATGATAAACCTTTATCTAAACCAGATCCGCGAAATGGTTAGAAATGGTCCATGATTCAAATTTAACAGGCATGGGTACATAGCTTGTAGGTTTTCCACTGAGACCTCATTTATTAAAAAAAAGCACAAAAAATTTCCAAATAATTATATATTTATTACATAAATAGGTACGTATGCACTCACTATAATTATACCAGATCTGCATAAAGCATATTAAAATAATCATACAGTTCATTAATCTTAAAATTTGTGGTCCGTAACAAAAACAAAAAAATATCATAGTGGTCCTTGGTCAATAAAAGGTTGGGATCCACTGATCTAAACATATGTTCGATATATATCACTGAAATAGTGCTATCAAATTAGAACCACAATACCATATTATTATTACAAATAACAGACCTAAAAATTGTCACCAGTTTTTGCATAACTATATATAAATAACAGTTAAATTATTTAAAAATAGTAGTTTTTCTTATTATATATATGAAACTTTTGATTAAATTATTTTAGAAACCACATCTATTAATTTATAAGGAAATTGTTATCTATTGAATATGTTATAAAAATTATCAACTCGGATTTTGTCAGGAATGCACTTATAAATATTGCTTTGTAATATTACAACACATATGTACTCTTTTTCATGTATTTATGTGCATTGTAATATTGAAAATTCTTTAAAATAAATATAGAACAATGGGATTACGACGCACTAGATGCGTATATTCGTTCAAAAATGTTTGTCTTCTATAACAATCAAATACTATTTTATCACAAATTAAAAGCAATCTATAAATATTTCTGAAAGTGATTTTTGTAAATGGATTAGAAAACAACAATACATATACCACAGTAACAACTCAATCCACATAATACATAAATAGGTATTAACTTTTACCCTCTAAATGAGCTTTAATATTGAAATTGACCTACAGCTAAGACAATATCTGAAAATTTTCTACCTTGTTAAATCAAGCAATATACATATCTGCAAATATTGTAAATAACCGATAAATTAAACAATATTCAAACATTAATCAATTTTATTATAAAATCAATAGAAATAAACAACCTATTACTTTTAAGAAACATTTTATCTACTGTTGTATATATTCTAAATAAATATGTATGCATGTATTTAAATATGTAAATATTTATTTTATACACATTTCGAAAAAATATTTCAAATTTGCTGATAACATTGAAATTGGCTCATTACTTATAAGAACAAGTGTAGGTAGCCTTGTGTTCAAGTAAGCAAAAAATTTTAAACAAATAAAAACGAATTATTTTAATTCTATTGAATTTTGCGGTAGTAAAACATTTATAGAAAACAGAATAGCTTTTTCAGCAGAGCCGATTTCCAACTGGTAAATTTGTAAGCAAATTTAAAACAATTTAACAAATTGTCGTGGGCTTTTCAGTATAAATTCTGATAATACTAAGCAAATTAAAAGATAAGCGTTATTGTTGTATAAATTTGCATTAAACTTTATTGACAATTTCGTACTCGTATGTGACAAATAATTTACGTATTCACACACAACGAACAGGCATATTAAAATATAATTTATCAAAAAATTAAAAACAGATTTTTTTAGCACGAACGAACATATTTGTTAAAATCGAAGATACTTTGGTATTTTTAAGCAAATTAGTCATTGAAAAAAAATAATAAAATCATACATATATATTATATGTATATGTATATAATAATACATACATATACATATATTTATAATATATCAATATTATACAATGCTTATATTTAAGTGTTTAAATGAGGCACAAAAGCGTGTAAAATCTTTTTTTGACATTTTAATATAATTTATAATTTTATAATAAATATAAAAAATACCCATCAAGTCTG